AGCTTTAGGCCTTGTGGAGCAATATATGTCCTCCGGCTATTGCTACCTACTCTTCTGGACCAGGAACCTTAGTACTCTTCTGGACCAGGAACCTAGTCTAGGCAAATTAGTAGAGTAGCTTAGCTTGCATAATGGTCCAGAAGACCCTTGCCTATTGTCCTGCTATTGCTACCTCTACCACAGACAGCCCCAAACACGGTATTGTCTATGTCTATGACCATTGCCTATTGTCTGCCGTAGAGATAGCAATAGAAGGACAATAGGCAAGGGTCTTCTGGACCATTATGTGGACCCAAATGCAGTTCCTGGTGCATCGGCGCTCCTGCCGACCCCACATTCCCTCTGTCTGCTGTGGACCCAAATGCAGTTCCTGGTGCATCGGCGCTCCTGCCGACCCCACATTCCCTCTGTCTGCTGCCTTCCTTCTTTGGAAATAACGACCTACTTTGGAAATAAGGACCTACTGTGGAAATCAGGACGGAGCGTTCGGGTCCTGGCTTTAAGTAGTTAAAAAAAAAAAAAAAGCCACTTGCCACTTCGCCAACGCTAACCTATCCCTTCTAATCTCTCTGCTATCTGTCTCTGTCTTTAGGAGGAGGAGGACGTAGCTTTTTTTGTTTTCTGAGCTTTTGCAAAAATTCTCTTCAGGAAGGAGTGTGGTAGTTGTGAGGTCCTTCTTTTTCTTCCTTGGAAAAAAAAAAAAAAAAAAAAAAAAAAACCCTTGTATCTTGTAATGCTCAAAACTCTGTTTTTCCTTTTCTTTTTAGCAAGGTACAAAAACCTTGAGAGAGAGCCCCTCTCAAGAGGAGACCCAAAAAAAATATTTGCGAGCAATGCAAGGTGCAAAGTTATTGAGAGGTTCTGATATTCACAAGGAGGGGGAGGGGGAGGAGGAGGAGGAGGAAGAGGAGGAGGAGGTACAAACTCTCTGTGAGAACTTATTTTGTCACAAGGAGGTGGTAAGTTGGTAACCCACTTCTTTCTTTTTTTTTTTTTTCTTTTTTTTTGAGAAATGAGAGCAATAAAGTAGACACTTCTCCCCCCAACCCCAGTCCCGGTGGACCACGAAGTAGACGCTTCTGGACGAGGTGCAAACTTGATTGCTGCAATTTCTCTCAGAGAATGTACATGTTCTTGGAAAGGCGCAAAAAAAAAAAAAGAAAAAAAAAAAGGAAGGGTGCAAATTTGAAAGGTACAGGTTTTCTCGGAGAAGGTGACATGTTTCTTGTTGAAAAGTGTTCCCAAAAAAAAAAAAAAAAAAAAAAAAAAAGAGAGGTGCAAATCTGAAAAGTGCAAGTTTTGTCAAAGAAGGTAACAAATTTCTGAACAACAAACTTTGACCTACTCAGGGGGGGTATACTCACACTAGGTCTATGTCGATGTCGATGTTGATGTCGATAACTGCTAAGAAAGCTCAGGTACAGTACTCACTCTGTCTCTGTCTATGTCTCTGTCTGTGTCTCTGTCTATGTCTCTGTCTGTGTCTATGTCTATGTCTATGTCTATGTCTATGTGTATAGCTTCCCAAGAAGTTGTGGTAAGTTGTCTGTAGTATAGACTTGTTGGGAAGTTATGGACACGAGGACACAAAGTTCTCATTGCTGGATGAGCACAGGAAAAGTTCAGCATGCTGAGCTTTGATGAAAAGTTATTGACGCGAAACGCTCCCCACGCAGAAGGCAGCTGCTACGGAATGGCGGCTCGCTGACCGACTTGTTGATCTTGATCCTGGGCTGTTTTGTCTATTGTTGGCCTGCAGATGTGGAGGAATATAGGCAATCGCATCGCATCTTCCTGGATGCGCTTCGACTCGTTGAGACGAGTAACATCATGCCAGCGCCCAAAGGAGATGACGGGCTAAGCATAGGTCCGCTGCAGATCAGGTCAGTCTTTTTTTTCTTCTTCTGCTACTACTGCACAGAACAAAAAAAGCACATGACATTGTGGAGGGCTCTTGGAAACTGGGACCAGCGAACTGCAAATCGGTCCCAGATCGCGATCGTCGGTCCCAGATCTCGATCGTCAGTCCCAGATCTCGATCGTCAGGAATTGGGAAATGTGGGTTGTGTGGGAAACATGGAACTGGGAAGTCTATAAGGTGGCGCGGGGAAGCGGGATAAGATAGGTCTCAGATCCCAATTGCAGGGCGGTCTCAGATCTCAATCGAGACCAGGGAACTGCAAAGCTAGGTCTCAAATCCCGATTGCAGGGTGGATGCCTTCGACTAAGCTTTGTGAAGTTGTCAAAAAGGGAAAAAACTGGGCACCTGGATCCTGATTGCAGGGCGGGTGCTCAGTTTCCCTTTTTGACACATCGTCCCAGATCCCGAGAACGGGGAACGATGTTTTGCTGGAGCGGGAAACCGGCAGCTGGATTGTGATGCCCTAACCTCACGCTCTTCACAACTTCCTGATCAGAGTGAAAGTAGGTCTGGAAGTGCAAAATAAGTCGGGGGGGGGGGGGGGGGGGGGGGGGGGGGACGGGGTACAAGGATTATAGGAAAGGGGTTTGGGAGTCCCAGGTTGGAACTCTGAGATCTCCTGTGCCAAAGTTCCTTGGGACGGGACTTGAGAAGAATCGGTCCCACCCATCAATCAAAAACTTAGACGGAGGGGTATGTATGCAATTACGTCCTATTATGAGAGAAAGGAAGGGGCAAAACTACTACGAGGCTAGTGTGGGGTGTCCATTACTGCGGCGCCGTTTTGAGCCCTTCGCCGCGTGCGTTTCCTGTGTACGTAAATGGTTCTGGGGTATATGCGAGGGTCGTGCAGGGCGTCCACGTGTCGCCTGCGAGACTCTCTTAGTTGAGTGCACCTTGCTTGATATTCCGCTTTGCTGTGAGCCCGGTACGGGAACCCACATCGCCTATGAAACTCCCCGAGCAGGCACTCCGAACGAAAAGAATGCGGGGCCAGCTGGGGGCTCTGGCGGACCAGGGTAGGACGATAAGCTCGTGGTATGATGGGAGAAGAAGGGAAAAAAGGGGGGTGATAAGGGTCTCAATGATGACGGATCGGGACTCGACGAACGCGGAACCGTCTGCTCTCCTCGGAAACTGATAAGGGGCGGCGGCCTATTCGGGCGATCGCATTGCGGATGTCCCATTTGCAGATCCCCAGTCCCTCTTGATGGTAGGGAAAAGGGCCCAAGTCAGTCTAATAATAGGGGCATCGAGCGGACATGCAATATTGGGGAGCTGCAAACTGCATACCCAGCACTCATTGACAACTCCTTGCGTGCAATAAAAACTCCTTACTTAATCGTCACCGATATCCCGAGTGCTTGCCAAAAACAAACGAGAAAAAACATGCGTCCAGACACATGCAACAAATTTCCTGATCTGGTCGTCAGCCAAGGATCAGGCAAAATCCATGCATACATTTGTGTGCAAACTCAGGGCATACTCGCACAAGGACTTTTTGCACAAAGCTCTGGAGGTGATTGCAGTCAGATTCATCCTGGTCTCACCGTAATTGCAGTCAGATGCAATCTGAAAAGTGCTAGTGTGAAAAGTTCTAGTGTGAGTATGCCCTCAGAGATTCGTATTTCAACCCAGAAGGGCCCATTTTCCAGCAGGTGAAGCTCCCCACCAATACATGGAGCCTCTCCCTGGGTGCTAGTGGTACCTTGGTACCTGCTTTTACCAGTACCACTAGCACTGCAGGGGGTGTTAAAACACCAGTACCTCCTCCTAAAAGTGCTCTGTTAACGGGCATGGCTTTTGGGATGAACGGGCCTGGGCCGGTAGCCCTGATTCAGCCAAGTGGAGACGGCGCAATTTCCAGTTTGGGCTGCCCGTTAACACGGAGCACTTTTAGGAGGTACTGGTGCCAGTACCTCTTAAAAGTGCTCTGCGTTAACGGGCGCGGCTTTTGGGATGAACGGGCCTGGGCTGGTAGCCCCGATTCAGCCAAGTGGAGACGGCGCAATTTCCACTTTTGGCTGGCCATTAATGCGGAGCACTTTTAGGAGGTACTGGTGGTTAAAAAAAAACAAGAAGGGGAGGGAGGATGGGGGAAGAGACGGAGAAGAAGAAGATGCAAGAGGAGATGGATAATCAAGGCACCTGCTATCCAAACCGCAACTCAATCTCTGTCGCTCTCTCTGCATAAACCACACATCTCAGAACGCGGTGCGAACAGTCCGTCGCTTCGCACCCACCAACTCCGCAGCTCACCTCGTCAGCACTCTGCTGTCCCGCAAGCCAATCCTCTCGATTGCATTAACTCCCAAAGTCAGGTTAGAGAGAGATGAAGTTGCATTTACTGAATTTATAGCTGCAGGGTGCTTGCGAGAAGATAGCAGGATTAAGCGAGAAGGAGGAAGGGAGGAAGCGCCTACTACCAGCTGCATGCCTGGACTGCCGTATGGGGTACTTAGCTACGCTCTACGCATTGGTCCTGGTTGCACCGAGCAGTCCAATGAGGGGGTTGAGGGAGAAGGGAGGGGAGGAAGTGCCTGCTAGCTGCATCATCCCACGCTTCACGCATTGGTCCTGGTTGCACCGAACAGGCCAACGAGTGTCGAGGGAGAAGGGAGGGGAGGAAGTGCCTGCTAGCTGCATCATCTCACACTCCATGCATTGGTCCTGATCGCACCGAACAGGCCAATGAGGGGGTCGAGGTACGTAGAAAAAGGTGCACGAGCCAAGCATTGTGTGCCAGCGCCGAAAAAGGATCCAGAGGAGGGGGAAAGAAAGACAGTTTAGCGAGAAGATCGAAGATGGGAAGGAGGTCAGTCAGATGACAGTTGAAACCAGAAGGGGAAACCACGCGGGAGTTACAAAAATGAGTTGTGATTGCACTTGGGGCCAAGATACAGTTTCGAATTGCAGTTCGGGCAATGTATACAACCCAGCTTTCTGTCCAGGTAGGGTGCCCCAAGTGCAATAATTGCAAACTGTATCTTGCCCCCTAGTGCAATTATAACCCTTTGTGTGACTCTACTGAAGTTACCCCAAACCAGAAAAAAAAAAAAAAAAAAAAAGAAGGCGCGGGGGAAAATTGCGTGTAGGAGTGCACGTGCACAAGAAAAGGGAGCAAGGTTCTGTTACATCCACGTCCCGTCCAAGCAAAAAGCAGCGAGCATGAAACTTAATATAAGCTAATTAAAAATCCTAATCCCGATGGGAACTCCCAATTACACACACGTGCTACGGTGCGGCCATCAGAAAGTCGAAATTCAAGCGCCAGTTCGCACGGATTACCGCGGCAGAATTTCCCACCAAGCCACGCAAAATCCCGAAATAAACAAAACAAAAGAACGAAAAAATAGACTCGTCATCTTTTATTTGGTCTTTTCCACCAAGCCCATGCAAAATCCCGAAATAAACAAAACAAAAGAACGAAAAAATGGACACGTCATCTTTTATTTGGTCTCGCAAAGGCGCGCGCGCATACTAACTGTCACTCGCAAACAGACCTCGTCACAAGTTGGGGAACTACCTACCTCCTTACACATCACATCTTAAACTATGGCACAGTTGCAAAAAGAGATTCAAGAGACGAGGAGGCGCAATTAAAAAACAAAAAAAAAGGATAGCCCCGTAGACGTACACAGGCCCGTTTGGAGCCAACTTTCGAATCGCGCAGAAAATCCACACTCACGCAGATCGTAGTAGTTCGTCACAGGATCAGAAACTGGCAACCGGATGGGATGGGCTGTTGGGACACAGAGAACAACCCAGTTCCCTTGGTCCCAGTCCCAAGTTTCTGACCCAATGCCCCAGGTCCCAGTCCCAAGTTTCTGACCCAATGCCCCAGGTCCCAGAAACTGGGAACTGGATGTG